TGGATCCCATCCCGTCCCTCCCTGTGCTCTGTATCCTGTCCCAGCTCTCACCTCAGCTCCCATCCCCCACTGTCCCCAATCCCATCCCAGCTCCCATCCCCTTAGGGATTTCACCCCTTGGATCCCATGGGGTCCCAAATCCCTACCACAGGTGCCAGATGTGCCCCTGGATGGGGCTGAGTTCGAGCTGGGGCCGGGCCGGGGGGTCCCGATGTCCCCCGAGGCCACCAAGACCTTTCTGCAGCTGGCGGGGGCCCTGCGAAAGCAGCACCAGGTGGGGGCAAAACCCCAAAAAATGGGGGGACCACCAAAAAAAGTGGGGACAACCCCTGAAAACGGGAGTATCCCCAAGGATTGAGGGGACTGGGCGAGCACCCCAAAGAGGGGAGCTCCGGGATACCAGATGGATGTGGAAAACTTTGTCCTTTTCCTCCTTTTCCTTTTCCTGTTCCTCTTTCCTCTCCCCTTTTTCCTGTTCTTCGTTCTTTCTCGTTCTTCCCCTTCCTCCTCCTCCTCTTGCTCCTGTTCCCATTGCTCCCCCAGATGTGTCTCACCTATTCCCGACAATTTGCTCAACTGGGGAACATCTCGGAGACCACCAGGTGAGGTCGGGAAGGGGAACAGGATCTGATGCCAGGGTGGGGATCCCAATGCCGGGGTGGGGGTGTCACCTGGCCCGGTGTGTCCCCCCAGGTGTGAGGCGTTGGCCGAGGAATGCCGGCGGCACATGGAGACCCTGCGGAGGGAGCACAACCGGGGGGGGCCTCCCCCAAAGCCCCGCTATGAGCAGAGAACCTTCAGTGTCATCAAGTGAGGGGGGGTCTCATCTGGAGGGTACCTGGGGGGTGGAGAACACCTGGGAGGAAAAAGCGGGGGGCACCTGGGGCAGAAAAGATGCATGGGAACATCTGGGAGAGGACCTGGGGGGCACCTGGGGAGAGAAAGGTGTGGGGCATGTCAGGGTGGGAACACATCTCGGGGGGCTAAGGTGGAACCCACACCTGGGGAGGCGTATCTGGAGTGGGAGGGTTTCATCTGGGGGCTCTGACAGGTTCCACCCCCACCCTCCCCTGCAGGATATTCCCGGAGCTGAGCAGCAGCGACCTGGAGCTGGGAATAGAGAGAGGGATCGGACTCCCAGTCCCTGCAGGTGAGGGACTGGGGAAACTGGGGATGGGGAACTGGGAATGGGGAGTCAGGAGGAACCGGGAACAGGGACTGGGGCAGGTGGGGCTGCTGGGCCCCTGCACACCTGGTGCCCGGTGTCCCCCCCGTGTCCCTCCAGGCGTGGCCCCCGGTGACCTGGACACCTTTGTGCGCTTCGAGTTCCCCCACCCCAGCGTGGTGAGTGGAGGCCCAGTGACACCCCTGGTGACCCTTCCTGTGTCCCTCCCCTTCGTGTTCCCAGGGCTCACTCGGGTCCCCTGGGACACCCCCATAATTCCCCCTGGTGCCTTTGACTCTCCCCCACAGGAGGAGGCACAGCGAGACAAGACCAATGTGGTCAAAAACACAGATTGTCCTGGTAAATTCTGGGAATTGGAGGGGTGTGGAGGGTGTCACTAGGGCTGGGATGTCCCTCGGGTGGTGTCATTGACTCTCTTCCCCCCTCCCCAGAATTCCGGGCGCGGTTCCGGCTGCGGCTGCTCCGGGGGCATCGGGGGCTGCGGAGGCTCCTGAGTTCCCGTGGGATCAAGTTCGAGGTGACCCAGAAAGGGTACGGGGCAAATCTGGGGAGAGAGAGGAGGGAATGGCATGGGAAACCTCCTGGAAAACCCCAAAAGAAATGTGGGAAATGTAGGAAATAACTGGGGAAATGACAGAAAACGTGGAAGATACAGAAAATAGGAAAAGTGGCATGGGGAATGGCAATAATGGGAAATAATGAAAGATGATGGAAAATGGCATAGGAAATGAGAAAAATGCAACAGGAAATACAGAAAATATGGAAAATAACACAGAAAACACAGAAAATAACACAAGAAAGAGTAAATACAGAGACGAGCATAGAAAACACGCAAAATGAGCRGGAAAATCCACGTGTGTTCAGGTAAAGAGGTTCCAGAGCGGGCAGAAGGCGACTCTGAAGTGCMGCAATTCCCGCTATCTTTGGGATATTCATAGGGCAGGGATTCATTACCTCCCCTGCTGTCGGGATCCTGGCTGGATCCGGGCGATCCTGACCCCGTGGCCTGATCTGCAGGGGGCTGTTCCGGCCGGAGCGGGCGCTGGGCTCGGCACAGCTGCGGCTCGAGAGGCTGGAAGGGACCTGTGAGCTCCGGGAGCAGCTGGAGGTGAGGGCAGGCCCTTCCTGCTTCCCTGGGGTTCCCAATCCTGACACTTCCCGGTGATCCCAGACGTGCCTCCTTCCCTATCCCAGCCCTCCTCAGCATTCCCGTGGTAGCTCATTCCTGCACCCAGCTCTTCCCAGTTTTCCCCGCTGCCACCACGTGCGATTCCCACTCGTTGCTGGTGTTGTGCAGCTGCTGGATGGGCGCCGCAGAACGGGCGGCAGGCTGGAGGTGTGGGTGCGGATCCGGGAGCCCCTGGGAGCGCAGCGGCAGCTGGAGCCGCGCTCCGAGCGCTGGCTGGTGCTGGAGCCGGGAGCCGAGGCCACGGTGAGTGCCCAGAACCTGCKGGAATCACCCGGGATTGGGAATTGGCACGGGATAACCCAGCGGTTCTCCCGTTCAGGTCGCCGTTCCCAAAGTGGCCGTGGCGGCCCCAAAGGACCGGAACAGCAGGTGAGGGGTGGGAGAGGACTGGGAATGCCGAGAACACAGGGAATTCCAGGGGGAAATTGTCATTATGGGGGSGGAGAATTGGGGTGGGAAGCTCTGGGACCCCCCAGGGCTCTCTGGGACTCTCATTCCCCTCCTGCAATGTCCTGGGGCCGCACTGGGTTTTTCAGGGTCTCTCCCGCATTTTTACCATTTCCCCCCCACCCCGATCCCCCTTTCCAGATCTCTCCCGATATTCCCAAGCCTCAACCTGCTGCTGTTTGACCAGGAGCGGCTGGAGCGGAAGGTGAGGGGGGGAAATGGCACTTTGTGGGGGCAGGGACCCCCGGGGGCACCCCTGACCTCCCTGTCTGCTGCCCCTCCCTCCCTCCCCCCAGATGGTGCCGTTTGGCCGCGCCGGTCGCCCGGTGCCTCCCGAGCTGCGGCAGCAGCACCAGGATCTGCTCCGGCGCATCCAGGGGCTGCGGACGCGGCTCCAGGGAGGGGACCCGCACTTCTGCACGGGTGAGGGGGAACTTGGGCTGTCCTACACCCCAAAATCCTCATTTATCCCGGTTTTTCCTGGTGTATCCCAGTGTACTATCCCGGGGGTATCCTGGTTTTTCCTGCYTCTAGAGTATGCAGAGCATCTGGAGCAGCACCTGCGGCTCTACACGGCAGCTGCACGGCGCCTYGGCACTCAGGGAGAGCGGGTGAGCCCCGAAACTGGAGCCCCTGAACCGGGGGGACACCCCCAGCCGCTCCTTGACACCCCCAAATCCTTGTGTCCACCCCCAGAAATGGTGCACTCCCTCCAAACCTCGGGACCTCCCAGTTCCTGGTGCCCTCTAAATTCCTGCTGCACCCCCCAAGTCTCTTCTGCTGTCTCCCCACCCTGGTGACCCCCAAATTCCTGATGTGACTGTGCCAAACTCCCGGCACCCCTCCAACCCTGATGCCCCCCTAATTCCTCCTGCCCTCARCCCTGGTGCCCCCATGGTGGGCGCTATTTAGGACCCCCCATAATTTCCCCTCCTGCAGGAGGCGGCCAAGGAGGCTCTGTACAAGCGAAACCTGGTGGAGAGCGAGGTGAGAACCCTGGGTGGGGAGAACTTGGGGGTCCCACGGACCCCTTGTCTTCCCTTCTCGTCACCCCTCTCTTCTCTTCCAGCTCCAAAAGCTCCGTGGATGAGCCCGCCCCACCTTGCTCCCTGTCCTGGGTCTGGGACCACGTGAGATTTTAGAGGGTACAGAGGACCCCCTCCCCCTACTTTGGGGGGACTCCAGGAACACTCCTCCCACCCCCCTGCCCGATGTGACAATCACAGGGATCAGAGCTGCTAAATWTCCCCCCGACCCCCCGGGGTGACACTGACCCCCCCTCAATGACAGGGTGTCACTGTCCCCTCCCAATGACAGGGTGACACTAACCATTCCCTGCCGGGGTCCCCAAGCACTTTTTCCCCACCCTCCTGTGTTCCCCTCACCAAAGCGGATCCTCCGCAAGTGCCTGTGGGGGAGGGGCTGTTCCGGGCGCTCTCACAAATTATAAAGTTTTTAAGAAGAAAAACGGAGATTTTGGTGGCTCCCGATGCGCCCCTTCYTCGACTCTTCACCGAGTTGTCAATCACGGCGACGGCCCCGCCCACTCGCCGGGGACCGCCTCCGCCGCAGCCTGGTCTCCATGGCAACCCCGCCAGAACGGACGGGCTCGAGCGTGAGCCAATCGCATTGCGGCCASCGCATTCCCATTGGTCGCATCGCCGCATCGGGGCGTGGCGCGCTGGAGATTGACTGATAAGCCAGCCAATGAGCTGCGTGGGTGGGGCGGTGTCSGCCACTGGGAGCGCGGTGTGGGCGGGGCGGCGGCGGCGTACGGCGCGCCGGAAGCGGCCGGTCTGGGAAAATGGCGCCGAGCTCGAAAGCAGAGCGGGGCGGCCCCGGGGGAAAGCGGGGGGCGGCGGGAGGGGCTGGGCCCGGGGCCGCTCCCCGAGGCCGCCGCGAGCACCTCGTGAGGCAGCTCGACCGTGTTCGGGTGAGCGGGGCGGTGCTGAGGGGACGGGATGGTGAGGGAAGGGGTTCTGAATGGGCCCGGAGGTGGGACGTGAGGGGGTCTCCGTGAGGGGACCCTGAGGGGGGGACGGGATGGCTGAGGGGACCCTGATCGGGAACATGGTGGGGGCGCCTGCGGGAGGAACGGTGGGCTCTCAGGAAATCCTGAGGGGGGGCCGATCCCGTGGGGGTCCCGTGTGGGGGCTGAGGGGTCGGGGWTGCGGGGGAGCCCTGATCTGGGCGGGGGTCACGGGCGGAGGAGCTGCAGGGGCGATGTGGGACCTCTCCCCCTGCTGTGGGGGCGCGGTGCGGTGTTGGAGGGTCCCTGAGGCRGCCCCAGCTCMGCTCTGCCCTGGCTGTTGGCATGGGTTGTGTCGGGTGATCCAGGATCCCCGGTACCTCTGTGCCCCCTCCTCTTGGTGGGCAGCTCCCCCCAGCTATGGGGGTCTGKGGGGAGTATTGGGGGGTCCCTGACCCTCCCGTGCCCCCCCAGATCAGCTCTCCCCCAACCTGTGGGGGGTGTTGGGGGGTCTCTGACCGCCCCGTGCCCCCCAGCTCAATGGGCAGCTCTCCCCCCGGCTGTTCCGGAAGCTTCCGCCACGCGTCTGCGTCACCCTCAAGAGCATCGTGGATGAGGAGTTTCTGTGGGCAGGGTGAGGGGACCCCAGCCCTGGGGGGACRTGGGGGACCCCAACTCCACAGGGGCCATGGGGGTGACCCCCATTGTGTTTGTTCCCCCCATCCCCATGTCCTTCTGTCCCCACCTGCCATGTCCATTGTCGTCCTGTTCCGTCTCTCCCCTCATCATCTCCCTGACCCCATCTTTGTGTCCTCATGTCCATCTGTCCCCCCATTCCCCATATCTATCCATCCCAACCCCGTGTGCCTGTGTCTGTCTATGTCCACCTGTGTGCCCCCGTCGCCATGTCCCTGTGGTGTCAGTGCATCCACCTGTTCCTCCTTTCCCATGTCCCTGTGTCCCTTTGTCCACGTCTGTCTGTCACTGTGTCCACGTGTTCCTCCATACTCACATCCCTGTTCCTAATCCCATGTCCCTCCCATGTGCTCATGTCTGYCCTGTGTCCCCATGTCCCCCCAGCCACATCTTCCTGGGTTTCTCCAAGTGTGGCCGCTACGTCCTGTCCTACACCAGCAGCTCTGGGGATGACGACTTCTCCTTCTACCTGTACCACCTGTACTGGTGGGAGTTCAATGTGCACAGCAAGCTGCGCCTGGTAGGGGACACCTGGGGACACTCAGGGACACCTGGGGACRCCTCTGGGGAACCTCTTGCCCACCCTCGGCCCCCTTCAGGTGCGCCAGGTGCGGCTGTTTCAGGACGAGGAGATTTACAGCGACCTTTACCTCACTGTGTGCGAGTGGCCGGGGGACAGTGACAAGGTCATCGTCTTCGGCTTCAAGTGGGTGGCACCCCGTGACCCCTCCCGTGTCCCCACCCGGCCCCGGTGTCCCCCTGTGTCCCCCGGTGTCCCCCTGACGCCCCCGTGCCCCCCAGCACGCGCTCGGCCCCGGGGCTGCAGATGAACATGATGCTGATGAGCGACGAGAACCACCGGGACATCTACGTGAGCGCCGTGGCCGTGCCCCCGCCCCGGCACTGCCCCGCGTGCCGCCGGGCCAGCGCCGCCCCTGGTGAGACCCCTGACCCCCTGTGCCCACCTGCCCAGGTGAGACCCCGCCTGGCGGCTGCTGCACTCAGCAGCAAGTGGGGGTTTTCTGAGAGGGAAAGTTTGGGGGTTCCCCAGTTTGGGGTGCCCCCCTGAGCCCCTCATGTCCCCAGGTGACGCCTCCCCCGCCTGCCTGCGCCACGGCTTCCTGCTGCACACCAAGTTCCAGGTGGTGTATCCGTTCCCCACCTTCCAGCCGGCGTTCCAGCTGCGCAAGGACCACGTCGTGCTGCTCAACACCAGCTTCTCCCTCGTGGCCTGTGCCATCGCCGTGCACCCCGCAGGTACCCCTGGCACCCCCTGATCTCCCCCAGAAACCCCCAGAGCCCCCCAGGACTGCCCAAACCCACAGGGAATTCCCAGAGCCCCACAAGCTCCTTGGAAACCTCTGGGACCCCCCAGTACCCCCTTGGGGCACCCCCTGACTGCTGCACCCCCGCAGGTGACAGCAACTCCCGGCAGATCCTCTATGAACGTCGGAACATTCCAGGCGCCAGCCGGAGGGGGGAAAATGCCCCTCCCGCAGCCCCCAGGGAGCTGGAGAGGGCTGGGAGAGCCTCCCCGTCCTCGCAGCCCCCCCTGGGACACCCCCAAACCCCAGACCTCACCCCTACACCCCCCTCTCCGGCCGTGGCCAAGGCCAAGGAGTTCGTGGCTGACCTGTTCCGCAGGGCTCAGGGTGCCGGGGGAGGGCCCGGGGGTGCTCACGGGGAGGGAGGGGATGAACCCCAGCCCCTCCCACGTGGAGCACCCCCCGAGGTTCCCCCACCAGCGCCGGGGATCCCCCCGGGGGAGCCACATCCTCCGGGGACCCCCCACGGGACTCCCCCTGAGCCTGGCTACGTCAACTACACCAAACTGCGCTACGTGCTGGAGCCTGGAGAGCCCTCCGAGGGTGAGTGGGGGGCTGGGGGACCCCCCAGGGGAACTGCAGCTCCCACGTTGTTGGGGGGCCCCGCCGAAGCGTCCCCCTCTTCCCCACAGACCTGGAGGACGACAAGATCTCACTGCCCTTTGTGGTGACTGACCTGAGTGGCCGAAGCYTGAGGCCGCTGCGGGACCGAGCCACAGCGCAGGTGGGACTCAGGGGCCCTCCAGAGCCACAGGGAACCCCCCAGAAGCCCCTGGGGGGGAGTGGGGACACTCTGGTGACACTCTGTCACACGCTGGTGACACCCTCGKCTCCCCAGGGGCAGTACCTGACAGTGGAGCAGCTCACGCTGGACTTTGAGTACGTCATTAACGAGGTGATTCGCAACGATGCTGCCTGGTCCCACCAGTTCTGCTCCTTCAGTGACTATGACATCGTCATCCTCGAGGTGCTGGGACCTTCTGAGCCCCCAGAGCCCCCGGGACCTCCAGGATATCCCAAATTGCCCATGCCCCCCTGGCTTGTCTGTCTTGTGCCATCCCCAGTGCATCCCAATGGTGCAGGACCCCCAAAAACTCCTGAGATACCCGGAATATCTGCCCAAGATTTGCTCAGACCCCCCTGGGATCCCCCTAAACCCCCCCTTACCCTCTTCCACCCCCCACCCCTGCTGTTGTCTGTGCCCCCAGGTGTGCCCGGAGACCAACCAGGTGGTGATAAACATCGGCCTGCTGTTGCTGGCCTTCCCCTCCCCCGACGAGGAGGGGCAGCTCCGGTGAGGGGGGTGGAGGGGTCCCAAAGCCCCTCTGGAAACTCCCCTGGCACTGACCTCCCCCATCCCCCAGTCCCAGGACCTACCACACGAGCCTCAAGGTTGCCTGGGACCTCAACAGCGGCACCTTTGCCACCGTGGGTGTCGGGGACCTCACTGAGGTCAAGGGGCAGACCAGGTGAGGAGCAGGGGGGGGGATCTGGGCGGATTTTGGGGTGTTTTGAGTGGCCGTGAGGGGGTCTAGAGGGGCTGGGGGTGATATGGGGCGCTCACAGCGGGTGTTGGGGAGCTGAGGYGGATTTTGGATGGGCTGGGGGTGACTTTGGGTCTTCAGGATTTTGGAGGCGCTGGAGGTGATCTGTGGTGCKCATGTGGGTTTGGGGAGCTGGATCCATTTTGGGGGTGCTACGTGAGGCCCCCCTGGAGCAGTTTGTGGTACTGGGGAGACTGAGGGACCCCCCACCCCCCAAAATGCGCCGTGACCCTCCCTGAGCCGCCCGARCCTCCCGAGATCCTGTTTGGCAGTGGCTGCACTTGGGGTGCCTCCGGTGCTGTGGGGACTGCATGGTCCCCTCGGATGGGGTCTGGGGGTGCCGTGGGGGTCCAGGGATGCAGCCCCCACAATCTGCCGTGGCAGTGGCAGCGTGTGGAGCTCGTACCGCAAGGGCTGCGTGGACACGGTGATGCGGTGGCTCGTCCCGGAGGGGCCCGGCCGTGGCGTGCACAGGATGACCAACGAGGCCCTGCACAAGGGTGGGCACTGGGGGGGGCTCCCAAGGGGG